AGACTGAATTTAAAAATCAAAGTGTTCCTTCACTTATCTTCGTGTAACACAGTCTAATACCAGTTGACAACTGTTTAACAAGTTCCTAGAATATGTAACTGCAAACCTTAGTTTAACCCTTTGGAAGCTTTTAATTATTTCAATACAACTTTCTAAGTAATTAAATGAGGATTTCCAAGATATGAAGGAACATAATCTGTTAACAAAACTTAGACGCAAGGGTTTTTAACAAAAAATTTATTACCAAAATACAATATTAAAGTCAATACATGACAAACTCCTGTAAAGCAAAATAAATATTCTAACATTGTACAGTATTTCCAAAGGTAGTTGAAGAAATGCTATAAACCTTGCTTCACTGTCTGAACAGATAAACTGTTCTACCATGGACACAATCCTAGGGTTTCGGCTTTAAGGCATGCAGCTCGATGTGCAGGATAATTTTACAATATGCAAATCATCCTATTTTAATAACATACAGTGTCAGAATAAACTGTAATCTGTACATGTCATTGTTGCAGAAATTTTTATACTTTGGCTATAGAAGCAATGCCATAGTGTTACACAATACTTATTTCTTAAAAAAATACATGTATTCATGTCCATGAATATCAAACTCAAATTTCTATTAAATATCTTTTATAGAATATTACTTAGAGCACCTTGCTGTACAAAAAACGATTAAATAAGTGTCTATGAAAACTAAAAATATATGTCTCAATAGAGAAGCTTGCTTGTCTTTGTCAAGCTAAGTACACTACAGAAGATACATGTAAACACGGATGCCCACCATTTGCTTTGTGAGAACAAAACTGAGAAAATAATTAGAAAGCCACTAATAGCTATCCTGAATAGAATGAAGAATCTGTCACACAGGCTTCAGCCAGTATCACTACACTGTACTGTCCAGCCACAGTTTTCAGTCTCCTGATCAAATGGAATACAAACATGAAATGGTTGGAACACTGGGTCACCAATCATATTCCTGGTTTGTTAAGAGGAAAGGAGAAAATGACAGAGCCGTAAAAATATTTATAATGATCAGAATGCATCATCATCCCATTCTTATCTTTGCTGAATTAACTTTCTTTTAAAAATTATTTTCACCATCAAGTCTTAGAAATGTTCAGAGCAGAAAACAAATAGTACAAGCTTTCTGGGACAAAAGGTCTAGTAGTAATTAATAAAGCACTACTCCTATAAAGGGAATTCCTATTTTTTAAATAATTTCTTTTATAATTACATATTTAATCTTTATTATTACTTTTAGAAAAATCAGATGTTCTTGGTAGAGACACTGCTGTAAGACTTGCTATAAAATGATCAAGGTAAAATACAGAATGTCCTTGGTTCATGATTCTTCCTATAGGCCAGCACAACATTTTTAAGGATATACTAAAGCCACAATCAGATTAAACTTTGAACTTCTGGGTTATTTCTTCATCATAAGGTAGGAGAATTTTATATTCATGACTCTAAATGGAAAATTTAAGTAACAATAAATGGAAGTGGCTTAAGGAAATTAAGAAAGGTGATTTAAAATGTTAACATTCAAATTCTTGAATATTAGTATTTTCCAAGTGATTACATAAAACAGAAGCCAAGGAAAATGATAGCCAAAGTTGTTACTTTTCAGAATAACAGATTTTTATGAGGATACGCTGAATCATAGTTACTGGCAATGAAAAACTGATGTACAATATGAGTAACAATAAGAGTGATAAAAATGGCATTATTTAAAGTATTTTATTTGAATTTAAAGTTAGATATAAATGTTTTAATGTATTTAAATCTACATACAGTGGACTTGGGGGATATGTTTTTGTATGTATAAATTCTTTTTAAATATTCTTTTTATTAAGACCATATATCAGACATGGATTAACTTATAAATAAATTAAAGCTACAAAAAGCAAAAGAGCTCAAAATTATAATCATTTGCTTAAATATCATCATCAAAATGGAGTAAAAATTTTTTAAAAATCAGAAAACATTTCAAGAAGCCTGGCTCCACTTTTATAGTTTCTAGTACTATCTTTAAAATACTTCATTTAATTTATACCTGGACTTGGAAAACCAAATGCTTTCTTAAAACATGCCTATATATAGTATTCTCTTCACAAAACTGTTTTTGATGTTTAAAATCAGAATCACAGCCTCAACTCTAAATGTTAGAAGTTAGGATTAGGGTTATTCAAAGTGTTCTTCTGATATTCAGAAATAGCACTGTGAAAAAGGTGCAGTGAATGGTGTTCTGGGCTTTTGATGTGTAGGCAGAACTTACTTTAACCAAGTAATGTATAAGTGTGATCACAACAACAAAAACATCCTCTGAAATCATTATAAAATACATAATTTATGAGAAAATAACATATATTTGATAGTTGGAATGCAAAAATATTCTTAATTGGTTTCCTTATGTCCTAGGACTCTACCAGTGGAATTTTTTGGACCGAAATCCTAATTTTGCCAAATACTATTTGAAAGGTTGTTGCCTTAGTATAAATTACTGTGCAAGTCTAATGTGGTTGAAGGCCAAAGTGGGAACCCTTACCACTTCCTGCTTCTTCTTCAGGCCTAATTGCAACTCCCCTTCCAGTTTGCACACACAGAGAATTCCAATCAGTTCCTCATATGCCATCAATATCCGCCCCATGCACCACTTCCAATCAGAGGTCATATAATCCTCTGCCTCTCTGTATCTGGTTGAGGGAGACAGCCCAGCCACCATAGGTTACGTGCCCCTTTCCAGGTCCTCAACTCAATAACCCTGTTCGCTTTGCACTTTTTGCTTCTCTATTGCGCCAGAATACTCGTAACAGTATATGCTTATTAAGATTTTTATAAACCACTTGTATTTTTATGACATTTTAGTCACTTTTGTTTATTTCTCTTCTGAATTTCAAACTTTCCCATCCATTTGATTTTTTATCTTAGAGTTCAAACATTTTCCAGAGCTTCATGATCAAATGCAAACTTCTGTAGTTTGTTGCTTTAAGTGACTCTGAGATGTTGAGTGCGGGGTGGGGTGGTGACAGTAGGGTGTGGTGGAGTGGGGTGGTGACAGTAGGGTGTGTATATGTGTCTAACAACAAAAAAGATTAGAAAGTTCACGTGACTATGGGAAAACCTGTTACGCTATTTCAGACACTGAAAAGAGCCTTTGATAAGTACAATGTGCTCAAAATTGCTTCAGATCTGGTTTGAATACGATGGGAATTCACTTATTTCTTCCTCTGCTCACAAGTTCACTGTACATTTAAGACAATTATTTACTTCTTGAATGTGGATTCTGGATTTAATTTAGAGGTACATTTTTTAGAAAATAAAATAAAAGAAAATTTAATACTAATAAATTCCTACTGATTTAGGGAATGATTTAAGATCACTTCAAAGCCCTTTCCGTTTCCTTGTTGATTCGTTGGTGACACTGAAAAGACCTTTCCAGCAACTGCCCCCTTTTCTCACAAGCTGCGTCTGTTCTAGGGCGGGAATGGCCAAAATGAGCATGAAGGAAACTAAGCTTAGCTTAAGACTGTGACATTTCTATAACAGGTTTTATAACAGTTCCTGAAAAGCCCTTTCTTAACTTTTGCTGCTTGCATTTCTAAAGCATAATAAACTTATAATAATAAATACACTCAACTCTAATAAGCAGTAACAGGGTTAATACAGAAGATACATATTTACTTCCAATTCAACTCAATTCCCTTCATTCAAAATATTTAAATTTTATTACTGCTTACCCAATTGGAATTCATTTTAATTACATGACAAGTTTGGTTTCAAAGTCACAGCTGTCATTTCCTTAAAAGTCACACCAACTATTTCTTATGTCTAGTAAGTTATCTGACAGCACACTGGTGAATCTGGTTTAACAAAATCCTCTTCAAGTAATTAGTCCAGCTAATTCGTGTTTAGAGTTGTGTTATGGTCCTTATTTAGGATGATGTTTACAATTTCACCCTCATGCTCTTTCATATGATCCAAGAGATTTTCTTTGCTGGTTGATTCAAAACCGCAAATGCAACAACAGAAGAGTAAAACGCAATACTCCATCCCAGGAGGAACCAAATTAGAGTTCTTTTCTAAACTGTATGAGGTATTACTTGTAGGGCTCAGTTTCTCATTCTCATGGGGATCTAAGACATCACTGGGTGCCTGGGAAATCAGCTCTGAGGATGACACCAAATTTTCTGAACTTCCAGTGACATGATCAGCTCTTTCTTCACTGTTGTTTAATAGTTTTTTTCCAGGTGATTTCCCCAGAACTCTTAAAAACAAAACCAAAACAAAACATACCAAACCTTGAGTGGGCTATACTGTAGGACTGGCAGATTTAATCCTAACTTAAATTTATATATAGCAATAAAGGGAAGGTTAAGGGTAAGATCAGATACCTGCCACTTTGTGAGATTGCATCGTTAATAGCCTTGTTTACTTGTTCGTAGTTATAATTTTGATCACTTGCATGTTTCCACATATGAGACTTCAAAGAAGGAGGGTGGCTGCACACATATCCACACAAAGAACATCTGGAAGGCAGGGATGAGGAGAATCAGAATAATCCAATGGTATTTTAAAAATTATACTGATCCTATAGTAATTATTATAGCCCTCCTTCTGGTACTTTATTAGATGTGTTTCACTGACTCTTTTTTTTTTTTTTTTTTTGTCTTTTTCGTTTTTTTTTTATCGGTACCAGGGATCGAACTCATGACGGCCTGCTTACAAAGCAGGCGCTTATGCCGCTGAGCTAAATCCCCAGCCCCCACTGACTCTTAAGATAGCACATATTCTGAGACATTAATTTCAGTGCACTTTCAGAACAGATATAATAGAATCAATGAAAGAAGGCATTTTATATTATATGAGATACAAAGGAATGCAGACAAACACCCCAGATAAGCCATTATAAGATCTGGAAAGATATTTTAGTAGTGACACAGAAAATCTTTGCTCTGAACTCTTTAACTACACACACAAAGAAAAACATAAAATTAATGTTATACCACTATGTTTATTAATCAAGGAGAAAAAAAGAAAAATTCTCAACATGAACTTTGTACTGCTTTACAGAGCTACAGAAAAGGAATGGTACTCCTAAAAGTTTCTACAATTTCAATTTCACAAATAAAACAATATCTGTAATCTTAACATCTTACACTAGGTATGGTTTCAACTGATGAGCCAGTATTGATACTTATTATTAACTCTAGTCCATACTTTTATTAAGGTTCATGGTTTATGGTGTACAATCTTATATAGCTGACAAATGTAGTACAGGGAAATCACAATTACAGTGTCATACTGAATAGTTTCACTGACTTAAAAATCTGTGCTCTACCTACTAATCATTTCTTTCTGCTCTTGAATTCTTAGCAACCAGTGATCTTTTTATTGTCTCTAAGTTTTGCCTTTTCTAGAATACTGTATACTATAATTGTAATCACAGGAGTACGGATTAAGGGTTTTTCTGTGTCTTTCAGTGGCTAATAACTACCTTATATATAGATGTACCATTTGCTTTATTCCTTCACTACTAAAAGATACTGTGGTTGCTTCCAGGTTTTTTGCAGTAAATGAGTAATGCTACAACACACATACATGTGCAGGTTTTGTGTGAATAAAAGTTTTCATCATTTGGGTAAACGTCTTAGTGTACAATTGCTAGACTATGTTGTAAAACTATGCTTATATTTTTAAGAATCTACACATGAACAAAGATGTTTTTGTTAAATACTTAAAATCAGATAACACTCTTCCTTATACCTGTCAGAGATATGATCAGCATATTAAATGATCTAAGAATAAATAAAATAATTAATATTTGCAAGGACTTTTAACACCACTTCTAATGCACTGACAACTTAAGTTTATAACAACATGCAGCACTATTTTTCATTACATGTCTTTAAGAATCATGTCCAAAGTGAAGGATCTTTGACCTTAAAAAACACTGGCCCTCTTCACAGACAATTCTTGATAGACTGGCCATGAAATATAAATAGAAAAAGAGATACCCAATCTTACTAATAATCTGAGAAATGCATTACATTCATAGAACTAGCAGGACTGCTAAATCTAGTAAGAGCAATAAGATTTTCAGAAATGTGGAAAAATAAATGCCAACTTTATGTATAGGTATATGGACTCTGAAATGCAGTTTGGCACTATTAAGACCAAAGAAGCACAAACCTGTAGCTACCCAAATCTAGTTTTAAGTGTCTACTCTGAAGACATTTGAGACAAGAATACACATAGTGAAAGAATGACTGCTGTGGCCATGAATAGCAAAATGAAGGATACAACCCACAACCACTGTTCTTCCATAAGCATATGGAAACAATTTTTTTTTTTGGTATCAGAAATTGAACCCAGGGTCTTGCACTTGCTAGGCAGGCATTCTGCCACTGAGCTACATCACTGGCCCCTGGTATTTTTAATATTAGTGGAACATTATAAGTAGTAAGAAAGAAATCGATTTGTACTTATAACCATGAACCAATGTCAATAATAATCAGTGAGTATAAGAAGTTCACTGATCATTTCATGTGGTGTGGTGGTACACTCTGGGCATGGTAGTGCATGCCTATAATCCCAGCACTCGAAGAGGCTGAGGCAGGAGGATCATTGCAAATTCAAGACAAGCCTGGGCTACAAAGTGAGCTCAAGGCCAGCCTGAACTGCACAGTGAGACCCAGTCTCAACAAGACCAAAAAAAGCTAACATTAAATGTGGTTGGTGCACAGTTTAAATAAAAGTTGTTAAAATACCAAAACTATGTATGCATAATATACATATATACACATTATATGTTGTATACACGTTATACAGTCATTTAAAAATGCTTAAATACAATACATTAATTGAGACAATGGATTACCTGTGAGACAGAAGAGATAAAGAATACAGTGAGTATTTTAGTTCTATTTACAATGTTTAATTTTTCAAAATGTGGTAAAATGTTTGATTTCAATGACTTTATAGTTTGCATTGTCTTTAAGACTACAAACAATTTTACAGTAACATAATAAAGCAAAACCATCAATTGGTAATTAGTCACACAAAAAAGTAACCCTAATTCAAATTTCCTTTGCCCACTTATATCTGAAATACACCAACATTTTCACAAATCCCACAAAATTTGTTTCTCACTAATATCTTTATCATGGTAATTACTTCTGCCTCCAAGCTATTAAATCAGTGTCTGCCTCTTTAACTCTACAGTACTACCACTGTGTAACATGGTTATAGTGGCCTTTTCAAGTTATCGCCAGATCACTCCTTTGGAAAGAGTGACTGTTGTAGTTGTATGTCACCAGGCAAGAGATGTCTATGAATTTCCGCCTAGTACTTCAGCCAAGTACAATGCTCATGAATGTCTTACATGGAAATTTACAGTGTGAATACCCTTCTGTTCATATTACACGAAGGAGAAACAGACATGAAATCCTGGTTCTTCAGATTATTCACATTTATTTAGTCTGCCCTGAAGTCTCACTAGAAAATTCTACATCTAGAATGAGGCTCAGAATGCTGAACATAGTAAGGTTCTCCCAAATGAAAAGCAGTCTTATGCAACCAGAATTTCATACTTTCAGAAAACTGGGTCAGAAGAGAAACAGCAGAAATTGCAAATTTCTTCTACAGAACACCTCTAATGTTACTCTGTTACTCCAATGTTGAAAAAATAATAGCGAAAACTAGTTATGTAACTGCTTTCTTTAAAAGAAATATAGATTTACAGAATATCTGAATTTGTTTTGTTAACATACTGCATTTCTGTGGTAAATCTGCTCCATATTAGGAACCAATGTTAAAATTACTGACTGAAGTTCGCTACTAATTCAGATTTCCTTGGCTTATGCCTAATGTCTTTCTTCTGTTGCAGGGTCCCATCTAGGACCCTACATTACATTTAGTAGACCTGGTTTTTCAGACTTGCCCTTGGTTTAACTACCTTGACGGATCTGAAGAACACTGATCAGGCATTCTGTAGAATGTCCCCCAGTCTAGGTCTGTGTGTTGTTTTTCTCATGGTGAGACTGGGGTGCTGATCTCTGGGGAAAGACCACAGGGGCAAAAGGCCCTTCTCATCATACCACCCCACCACCACGCTCGTCAGTGCTGGTACTGACCCTGACCATCTGGCCCCGGTGAGGGTCCTTGACAGGAAAGGGACTCTTTATCATCCTTCTTCCCACACTGTACATACTTTGGGAGGAGTGACACTCGTACTTAAAGAATGGGAATATAGTTCACCTTTTGGGGGGGGGTAGAATAGCTAGACATAATTTAGAATTCTTACAGGTTGTCTATTTCTGCTCACTTATTTACTTATTTGTATCAGTACAGATATGTGGCTAATTAATCATACTTTGAGATCTATTTCAAAAATATACTGCACAAATCATTCCAGCTTTGATCACTGGGTGCTCTCTCTGCTGTGGTGATATATTTGTATTATTTGTTGAGTAAGTCTCCTGTGTCACTTGCTGATACTACAAAGTGCTCCAGGATGACTTTGTATATCTTCTACCCTAGTCCTAGGTTCCACCAATTAGTTTTAGTTTCCTTTATTAGAGAGCACTATTAAAAATCAAGATTTGAGTGCCAGGTTATTAATTTTGTAAATTACTTTTTTCCTGATTGCAAGATTCACTGCAGAAAATCAAAAATATATAGGAAAAAAACCACTTATAACTTAATCATTAGATATTAATGCACACATTGGACAAAATAAAATACACACACACACATTTTTTTTGTACCAGGGACTGAACTCAGGGACTGCCTTGCACTTGCCAGGCAGGTGCTATGCTGCTGAGCTATATCCTTGGCTCACAATACATATATTAATAGCAGTGGAAAAATAAAATACGTAAGAATAAGCTAACCTAAGTATGTGTGTGTATAGACAGTCATTACATTACACAGTTCTAATACGTATCAATTTCAATTATTATGGCTTAAACATTACTCCCAACAGTATGCTTCAATTATTAGTTACTAACAGGTGTAAGTATACCAACTGTACAGTTTAATTTTCAGGGAAATAAACAGAAGTGAATCACAATCAGTGACCAATCACATTGCTTCTTTCAAAGTCTGTGAGCCACTGATCACTGTGCTTCTAATTCAGTTCACTCACAAATAGCAAATTATGTAACTGTGTTGTATTCCTGTCTCCTGGTGATAAATTCAAGCTATAGTTTACAAAAATGGATAATCAAAACAGGCAATATGGAAGTGCAATAACAAATCTGAAGTGTTAACCCTGAAAGTGAAATTGGAACAAAAGCAAATGGAGTTGTAGAACAGATAGCTGACCACAGGAACATAGACACTATAGCTTCTGAACAAACTGGAGATGCAGTTACGCAGCCAGAGAATCTTAGGGAAGAAGACCTTAGACCTTAATGACATAAATGAGAAGTATCATTTCCAAGGAAAGGATATTGGCAAAAATTTTACATTAAAAGAACTTCTGGAGAAATTTCATGATATTGAAAGCGCCAATAATAAAACGTTGATAGCTGATCTATACTTAGGACAACTGATAATGTGCCAAGGCATAAAAAAAGATGCCAATTCCTATTTTAGGGCTATCATGAGAAGGCAAGCACTACTCAAATTATTCTTTGTAAAGTTTTTTTTTAACAAAAAGATAAAAACATTTTAACCTTTAAAATTTCTAAGTTTTTAAGCTGCAGAATGCCAAAGTCTGAATGTGTGTAACTCTTAAAGTTTGTATGTTGAAACCTAGCCCCAGAGTGATGATGAAAAGATGGTGCCTTTGCGAAGTGACAGCCATGAGGGTAGAGTCCTTGTGAATGGATCAGTGCCCTGAGGAAACTTTTCTGTCCCACCATGCGAGGATACAAAAAAATGCCATCTTTGAAGCAGAAAGACAGCCCTCACCAGAATCAAATCTACTGATAACCCCATCTTGCGCTTTCCAGCCTCCAAAACATCAAGCACTAAATTTCTGCAGTTTATAAATTTCTCAGTATAAAGTATTTATTACAGGCTGAATAAACTAAAATACAGTATACTAAAAACAATTGTATTACTATTTGTTTCCATACATTTGTAAATGACAGTTTTAATGTTTCAAGAAAAGAATTTTAAAGATCAGGGGAATAACTATAATTTTCCCTATTGGATTTTTTTTTTTTTTTTTTGGTACCAGGGATTGAACTCACAATCTTGTGCTTGCCAGGAAGGCACTTGCACCACTGAGCTAAACCCCTGAACCTAATTTTCCCTATTTTTAAATTGTTTTGGCTGATTTCATCTTACATGGTCATTCTTATGATCTCATGCTAACGTACAAACTATCTGTATATATACATAATATATCCATGTGTGTACAATATACAAAACTGACATTTACACAATAATATACATGAAGAAAATACATATACATATATGTCCCTTCTTCAGAACAGTAAGAAATTGACCTACCTACAGAATCTACATACTTCAAATTCATTTCTTTACCACCGTTTCTCTCATAAAACATTCTATATATAACATCTGCTAAAGGAGAACAATACTACTACTTCAGATGTTTGTTTCCCAATTCTCATACCCTTTCTTCCCAAAAAGAGGGATTTCCTTGAATTTTTTATTGTATGATTTGCTTTCTATGTCTTAGTTTTACCTCTATGTAACCCTGAACAATCATTTGACTGCATGTCTTTGAGTATATAAGTAAAATTTTTAGGTATTCTGACTTGCCTTTCTACCTTTAGTGTAATATTTTTGAGTCACCCATGTTAACAGGTGTAGCTTATTTACCTTACAAGGTACCTGCTTTTGATTTTTACACCTACAGTTTCTCAATTTCCCTAACAGAAATTGCAACAAGCACATCTAAAAGTGGTTTTCAATATTTATCCCGCATTTCAGTTATCTTCATTGAGAGGCAGTCTATTCTATGTTGTCTGAATGCCAGCTTTCTGTTTATAGTGGTTTAGCTGAAACTGCTGAGCCAATTTTTGTTCCACTCAATTGGTTGGCAAGTGCTGTGTTTAAAACTTTTCTGATTATATAACCTTTATCCCTTACACACAAACGGAACACACAGACAAGTACAAAAATTCTGAATAGTACTAACCTTATAAACAGAAAATTATAGTATATACTATATTATATATATAGTATATAGTATAGAATATATACTATATAAAATATAAAATTATACTATAAAATTTTAAACCTATTTTTGAGAATATTCCCTATTTTCTCATTGAAAATTATGCATTTTTAATGGGGGATGTAATGTCCCATTTTACAAAAGCATCATAATTTAAATATTTTATTAGCATTGCAGAGCTACAATGATTTTGATCTTTTTGGCATGATAAACTGTGCTGTAACTAATATCTTGTGCATCACACTAAGTACATCACTCATTATTCTTTAGGATAAAGTTCATTTTGCCTAAAGAACCCTTATGGATAATTAAGTGACAGTGAACACTCACAGCTAAGAAACAGAGCATTCTCAGTATACACTTGAGTCCTATGTGCCTTGAGTACCTTGTTTCTTTCCCAGAGGTAAGAACATTCCTGGACTGTGGACATTTTTAAGGCTTTCATTTGTCAGCATTTACTGTGTTAGGGAGAAACTAAGTATGAGGAAATACGTGCATTTAAATTAATAGTAAGTATTTATATAAATAGTAAATCACATAGTTTTAGATGTCAATGCTTGAATTATGTCTAAAATAGCTTCACAAGGACAAGTATGCTGAAGAAGAATTTGAGAATAGCTAAACCTTACAGGGAAGTAGTTGTGATCAGAAATGCTCTTTTAAATAATTCAAACAGAGTAATCCACATGCTAACCTAGATTCACTTTCACTAGCTCTCCTATGTAAACCATGTATATAGACACAGACTTTTGCTTTCTTGCTCTCATCTTTTCAAAAACTCTTTCCTATCCTAATGGACAAAAACTTATACCAATAAATTTCACAGATTTGGCTAATCAGAGTCCTTTAATATAAAGGATTTTGTGATAAAGAAGTCCTTAATACCTCTTGAACAGTGGAAGGAGAGATAAATCAGGAGTTATGTGCTTAAAAACCAAACTCTAATTTCACGAGTACCTTCCTTAGCCTGGTATGGAGGCTATTCTGAAGGGACACCAACAATGGTAAACATCCATGATGGGATCTAAGTATGCAAAAAAAAGGTGATAAGGCTAAACACTACCTAAAATGACTTTCAAAAACAGAAGGGCCATTACAGGGAATAATTTCACAAGTTAACCAAATTTCCTTGGGAGAAAAAAAAACTACAGCGTACCACTGTAATAGCATCATCCTGTTTTATGTCATAGTACTTCCTAAAATTCTCTTTACTTATCTTCTTTCATGAATATGTAAATTCAATGATCATGTGTTTGGCTGAGTCAGAAAGTGAACAGTTAACTGTATTCCAATCTGACCAAAATACATATAGTACCTAGGAAAACAGAACTGACAGAAAATGTTTCATTACAGAAACTTTGTCTAATATGCCAATAGACAAGCAGTATCTGTATTTCAATTTAGGATAACTTGCTCCTTCCTACTCTTACTAGTCCACTAGGGGGCAGAGTATACACCCAAACTAATAAAATCAACCGGTAAAAAGAATAGTAGCAGCATGGGCACATTTACCATAACTTCACCTGTCACGGTTTTGTTTTGCTTCTTTTTCTGATATTCCTGATAACATAGCCATTTGGTACTTTAAGTATGTAAGTCTAGAAAGGCAGGATCATACATGTGACATGAGAATACCTTCCTGGCTCAACTGCTGGGCAGTTTCGGTAGCATGTCAATAAGGCCACCGCTGGATCAAAGCTTTGGAATGTTAGAATAAACAAAATTTCATGTCATTTAGTGATACTAATCCATATCTGTATAAAACAATTCCTTTCCAATGGAAGAAAGCTATTTTAGCTTTAACCAAAAGAAAACCAATGTAAAAACCAAAGTTTCAGCTGGGCGTAGTGGTTCACTTGTGTAATCCCAGCACTTGGGAGGTTGAGGTAGGTGGATTATGGCAAGTTCGAGACCAGGCTGAGCTACGAAGTGAGCCCAAGGCCAGCCTGAACTGCATAGTGAGACCCTATTTTAAAAAAGACAAAAAACAAAACAAACCACCAAGGTTTCTCATTACCCCAGCTAAACAGGAGTCCAATTTATTTCCTACAGGCTTTCTTCCACTGCAGATATATCAGTTATGTCAGTTCTGGAACCCCATGGAAATAAAGGATTTTGGTTAAAAGAATCTCCTTCCCTGGCCTCCAACCTAAGTTTATAGATCTGATTCAATTAGAAACAACTGCTAGGAGGCAGGTTAGGTGGAAGAAAGCATAAGGTGGATGTCCTACAAGGTGTGGGATGACTTAAGTATGATTTGAACATGGATATAAACATTTCAACAGAAATTTTGCAACAAGGTGTGTCTTACTATATTCATTTTCTGTGCTTTTAAAGAAATGCATATCCTGCAAAAAATGGTCACTTCAAGTTTCATGATGAACCTGAAAAAGCCTTTTTGTCACTGTGAAAAATGAACTTTTTTGTGTTATGCCTTTAAAACAAATTTTCTCCCTCCAAATTAAACTATCCGCTAAACTGTATTCCTTAAAATGAATTCAAGGTTTCAAAGACCTGGAGTTTTCTCCCAACCAACATCATTGACTACAGATCAAATGTGACTATAGATAAAAGCAGACTTAATTCTCTAACTAATGTGAGTAATGGTATATGACTTTCAAGAGTAAGGCACAAAGGGTGTCAGTTAGCTTTCTATATCTGCAGATACAAGATTTCAAAAGAAAAATCATACACACATAGCACTTACATTGTTTAAATATGAGTAACCTAAAAATTGAGTAGTAAAAGTAACGTATAATTTCCAGTTTTATTCCCATTGTTTTGTTTGGTTGGGTTTTATTTTATTATGTTTGATTTTATTATATCTCATGGCATAGGCAGCCATTTCAAAGATAATGAGATATTATATTCACCATTTTGGTTTACTATTATGGTTTGAAGTCCTATATTGCATTGTTTTTTTTTTTTTTTTTGGTCTTTTTGTGACAGGGTTTTGCTATGCAGTTTAGGTTGGCCTTGACAAGCTCACTTTGTAGCCCAGGCTGGTCTTGAATTCCTCCTGCCTCAGCCTCCCAAATGCTAGGATTACAGGCATGCAACACCATGCCAGGCCCACTGTTTCTGTTTTGATTTTAGTGCGTCTGAAGGTATTGGCAGCTATTTCTTAGATAAAAAGAGGCATTATGTTAACCATTGTTGATTTCCTACTATCTTGTTTTCAAATCTTGTGTCACTTACACTGTCTTGTTTTCATTGGCTTTACTATTTTATTTTGCTTGGTTTTATTCTCTGTAAAATACAAAACTGATTAAGTAAAAATAACAAGGAACAAGGGAAAAAAGTAATCTATAACGACAGAAAATATACAGGAGGACATACATAGGGTTGTGTGCAAATACTATACTGTTTTATACAGGGGACTTGCATCAGGTGCAGAGTATGCTACTAGCACACCTGCAAAGATTCAGGGAGAAATTATGTACGTATATTGTAACTGAGGCCCAGCCAACAACCAGCATTAGCTACCAGACTGGTGAAGGAGCTTTCAGATAACTGAAACCTTTGCCTGTGGGAGTCCACTTTTGGCCTTTGAGTCTTCCTACAGAAGCCCCTGACCATATGGGAAAGATACATACCACCTGTGATTTTTTTTCCACATTCAGGACCCACAGAATCCCTGAGCATAAGGACATGGCTGCTGGTGCTCACTCTGAATGGTGGTGGTCTGGATTGCAGCAGCGGGACGCTTCCCTGGCATAGCATAGGCAGGCAGAGCAGCATGGCTGCTGAGAGCAAGGGCTCCATCCCCACTCTTCCCCTATGAGAAAAGATACTTACATTTTACAGCCTCTGTTTCTGTATCTACAAAACTGCCACAGTAATACTCTTACATATAGGCTACTGTGAGAAGTAAGCAAGCAGACACACATTGTTCAGCACTTTGCCTTGCCCACAGTGTTTTAAAAAGTGGTAGGTGTTATCACTTCTTTACCCTACCTTGCTCTACTTTTTTGTGGTTCTAAGCATGGAACCCAGAGCGTGAGCTACAATCTTTGTACACTTTTACTGTGAGACAGAATCTCACTAAGTTGTAGCAGCTGGGCTTGAACTTGTGATCCTCCTGCCTCAGCCTTATTGAGTGTTGGGATTACAGGTATATACCATCACAACCAGGACATTATTATTCCTAATATTTATATTAAAATCCAACAATGACTGACCATAGTAAAAGGAAACTCTGTCATTCCAAAATATTTCCTTGCTTAAAACCTTCCTGGAAGGGGTTGGGGTTTTTTTTGGTGGATTTATTTTATTTATTATGTGATAGAGAATCAGTTTTTTTATTAGGCACACAATATTTTTTGACCGAGTTAATGTGACAGCCCTGAAAACCAACATGCATTTTTACTTCTATATCGTATCTTATCAGAAAAATCAAAACCATTTCAGAATATAAAGACATAAAAATTCTAAATATAAATTTAACTACATTAATAGGAGAAACTTCTGTTAATGAAAAGAAATCACCAAGAGAGTAGAGGAAATACAGTACAAGAGAGGATATCACAGGAAGGGATATGGACAATTTATATAACAAGGGATTTTTATCCAGAATACATAAAGAACTCTTCCCGTTCCATCAGATAATTCACTAAAGAAATGGGCATGACCTCATAAACAAATGAGAAAGTGTTCAACTTCATAAATTGGGAAAATGCAAATTCAAACCATGGTACATTCCACTCACAACACATAGGCTACAATGACCACAATCAAAGACTGACAGTACAGTGTTGGTGAGGATATGAATTAATTATCTCTAAATATCTACCCAAACTAAATACATATTGTGATGGTTACAGTGAAGTTTCTATGAGACTGGCTTTGTGACATTGCCCAGAGACTGGTGAAGCAAACTTGTATGTGTGCTGGGTGTGTCAAGATGTGGCCTTGGGATCTAAGTCTGATCCTTCTCCCCCTCTATTCTAATGCTGTTCTCCTATTCTGCCTGGCCTCCCTAAACTAATGAGCTTTGCTTTGCCACATCCTTCTGCCAACTGAATTTGATCATGAACTGAAACATCGACAAATTAAACCTTTCTTTCTGTAACTAATGGGTATAGGGTATTGTGTCTCAGCAATGAGAAAGTTGATTAATACATGTACATATGGCCAGTTACTCAGAAATTTATGCTCCTACATGTAAAAGTTCTGTGAAAAGATTCATTTTATATATGTATCTAAAAGCATGTAAAAACAATGTTCAAAGTAACGTTATTCATAATAGGGAAGAAAATCTAGCAATAGCCCAAATGTCTATCAATAGGAGAATGAATAAAAAGTATTGTAGTCTTAGAATAGAATATTATATAACAATGAAATGCATTAAAGCTGCATTACACATGCACGTCGCACACAAATAAATACACACAGAGTGATATCGAGTGAATGAGTGAATAATACTAGACATAAGAGTATGCATTGTACGATCCCACTTCTTTTAAGTTCAAAAAAAGGCAAAATTAATTTATGATGTTTTAAGTCAAGACAATAATTATTAGGATGGAGTAAGGTTAGTTGCGTCCTGGAAGGCCCATGAAGGGGATGCTGACGAGGGACTCTCATGACTTATATTAACAGCATGAGTTTAACTTATGATCATTCACCAAGCTATACATTTATGATTTATATAATTTTCAGGATGTATGCTAACTTCTAATTAAAAAATTTAGAGAGAGGCAGTTGAGGAAAGGAAAAAACAAAGAAGAACAATTCCAGCAGCGACAGCATTTCTACCTGGGCACATTTCTCTTGTGAAATAAACTATGCCTGCTTACCTAGGAACAGGATTATTCTTTTGTTTCCCAAGTGATGAGAGGTCAGCTGCCTTTCTTGCTTTTTCTTTTTCTGGCTAGCCAATGAATCACTGAGAAAAGATGACTAGGTCCAATAGCTACTGCTACTTACTGGTTGCTTACTGTAAGACAGTATTTTATATAACACTTCATATAATTCTCACAACCTTAATTATCCTTGCTTTATGAATTACAAAACCAAGCACAGAGCAGTGAAACAGTTTGCTCAAGCCCACAAATCCCATAAACGAGGATGTTCAGATTCAATTCTAAGATTATCTATCCCCACAAGCTACATACACTCTTACACATGTACAGGTCAAACAAATAGGTTCAGTGAAGGACTAGATTGGCAACATAGAATGTAAGTCACCAAAAAGGAAAAGGTATCAATACTGCTGAAAATCTATTATATAACAGGTGAACACGAAGTTATAACCTTGCACAAAGACCAGCTGTGCAAGACATTCTTAGCTCCAGAGAAACCTGCGGACAGAAACTCACCACAGTTCTCAACAAAATGCAGGGACTCAGAAATGCACAGTATCAAAACCAAATCCAAACTCTGATCATGAGTGTGCCAGCTAACAGCACTGAATGAAGCAGATACGAAGTAAGCCAGAAAAACAGTAATCCTTAAATTAGATCAGACATCAAGGAGGCTATGCTTACTAGCTCAATTCCTGACAAAAGTGTATTACAATGAAGACAAAGTCCTAAAAATATATATTGGGATACAATATGTTCATTCATAATGCTATGTAGACCGTGTATTTCAAAAGACAAAGGAGGATATGCATTTAAAGTATTGAAAGGGGGTTAAAAGGAGCCTCAGAAGATTAGGAAATAAGATTTCTCTAAGATGCTACATGAGGAGGATTCTCATAGAATGTTTTCCATTGGCAGAAAGATCCTAGACAACCACAAATAAAACTGAGTCTGTAAATATTTTAGGAACTTAAGAAAACATCTATCTCTAAGGCATCAATAGCTACCAAAATGAGTCTTTATACTCTAAGACTAGTATAATCAGGTAGACACAAAACTCTCCAATGTATTACTAGAAATCAGTCATTAATCTTTTTCACAAATTTGTCATAATTATGTACAGGTTGAGTATGCCTTATCCAAAATGCATAGGAGCAGAAGTGTTTCAGACTTTGAATGTTTTACTTTTTTGTGGATTCTGGAATATGCACGATGACGTATCTTGGAGATGCAACCCAAATTAATCACATTTATTTATATTTCACAGTATCTTATACACAGACCCTGAAAAAATTTTATACAATATTATTTTTAGTTTACTTGCATTTTGGCTATGAGTTGTCATGTGCAGTCAGGTATGGAATTTTCCACTTGTGACATCACATCAGCACTTGAAAAGCTTTTGTTTTTGTGGTTCTCAGAATCAAAACATGTACACATCAGTCAAGTGCTGTGCCACTGAGCTACATCTTCAACCCTTGGATTTTTGGATTAGGAATACTCCACCTGTATTTGTTTCAAGTCCAAGAAGAGCAAAAATGATACCTTTTTGTTATGAATAGTCTAGAACAGTTCTTGAAACACATTTGTTCAGTATTTCTTAATGAATGGATAAGCAATCTATTTCTAGATTCAGAAAACATTACTGCCTAAATCACATAAATTCAAGAATACAGATACTTAAAATACAAAGACAAACCCTTCCCCTTATATTAGGAAAACTAGTATCTGTTTCCCTCATGTTCACCTAAACATTCTCAGTATAAATCATGCATGATTCATGTTCAGCTCCACTTGTCATTCCTTACCTAGAATTTATAGCACTGAGTTACTATCATCATGATCTTCATTACATTCTGGAAAAACTTTAGAGATTTTAATTTTTTTTTGTTTTTCGGTACCAGGGATCAAACTGATCTTGCGCTTGCCAAGCAGATGCTTGTGCCACTGAGCTATATCCCTAGCCCCAAAGGATCCTAATTTTGAAGATTATTTGAAATAAAAATTACAAATACTGAGGCAAGGTCAAGTACCTTCAACAGAGCTACAAGACTTCTAAAACAGATGCACTATCAGAAGTATGATTAGAAATAGGTCTGCAGGCTAGCAAATTAGGCACATATTAAATATTTAAAGCCATACATAGTTAAAGAGACAGCACCACACTACGGGGGAAATAATGAACCTTTATGCTGTTTGTCAGGTTATCACTTAAATTAATAGAGCAACTTTCCCATACTCCTTTGTATCATACCCACAAAACCTGAGGAGAGTTACAACATGAAAAAGTTTTGAAAAAGGAATAAAAAAGTTCATGTTTATGGCATAAAATCATCCATCACACAGACCAGCTTAGTGCTTAGTAGGAACCTGATATCCTACTATGGTTGCAGGTGGAACAAACTGCTCCAGGATAGATGGACACCTTCACAAGACATCTATACCTTCATTACACATAAACAACAAGCCAGGCAAGGTGGTGCAGGCCTGCAAGCCCAGCACTCTGGGAGGCTGAGCACAAAAGAAGGACTGGAAGTTCCAGGCCAGCAAAGTTAACTTAGTAATTTAGTAAAGACCCTGTCTCAAAACAAAAAGGATTGGTCATACAGGTCAGTCAAAGGCCCTAGGTTCAAGCCCCAGTGCCACAAAACCATTAACAAATACATTTATTTAAAAAAAACAAAGTTTACTTAAATTATGATTTCTGTTTACCAGCTAATCTTGACTGAGAATGCCTATGTTTTCTCTAAATGCATGTTAGAATGAGCTTTGTGAAAAATCAATTCATAAAACTAAATTAAATAACTTTATTCTACACATGACAGTTCCACATTACAAGCTAATTTTCAAGTAGAACCTTTACAGGGAATTTTACTGCCTTTAAGCTTTGAAGACCTTTAGGTGGAAGTCAAAGTATCTAACCACTGAATTACTGAGATGCACTCTGAACCAAAACCTGCTATAATTTATACCCAAATGACATTAAGCAGACAAGTTATCTCCCTGCATTTCAATTAAGACAAAATGCCAATGGTATTGAGACTTAAGCTTAAAGTTAACATTTCTTTTTTTTTTTTTTTTTTACATTTTTTTTTTCTTTTTCTCTTTTTATCAGTACCGGGGATCGAACTCACAACCACCTGCTTGCAAGGCAGGTGCTTATGCCGCTGCGCTAAATTCCCAGCCCCAAAGTTAACATTTCTTAACATGCTAAACAAGACTTGGGAGGGCAAGTAGGTGAACTTGTTAGCTAGTAACCTGTGATTCAACAAGTGTTATGAATTTATAATTATTTGTCTTCTTTTTTTTTCTATCAATATTTTAATACAAGCATTAAAATTCTAGGGTTATCATACTTACCTGTACGGTTTATCAGAGTTATGAATCCGTCTGTGGTTTCTGACACCAACATATGTTGTACTTGTATAACTGCACACGTCACATCTATATTGTTTCTGGGTTGAAGACTTACTCCCTAGACAAGGTATTTCACAGTTTTAGAAGCATGCCTTGGTAAGATTCAAATGATAACATTTACATTTCATAGTAAATGAATATTTATACCACATAGTATTAACATTTCAATAAAGGCTTTCTCACTCCTTAAATTTAACAAGTTTGAAGTGGCTTTATAGATTCTCTGGCACCTAGACTATCAGCAAATACAAACTGAACAATTGACCTATAACTACAGATAGGTTAGGCTGGTTTCTGCGTAACTTTGTATAAAATTCTTAAAGTATAATGAGGGTCGAGGATTTAGCTCAGTGGCATAAGCATCTGCCTGGCAAGTGCGTGGTCATGAGTTCGATCCCCAGTACCAAAAAAATAAAAATAAAAAAATTTAAAAGTATAATATACTTGCTTTCAGCTGCTCTACTGATTGTATGGCAGCTGAATTAACCAGAAATACACTGTTAATTTGAAAGGTGTTAGTCTGATTAATATTGGATATACTGTCTTAAACACTGATTTGGTAATGAACTATAATAGTATACTACAATCTTACAAGTATGATCATGAAACACATATTGCAAACCCAATAAAAAAGCAAAGAAGTGTTGCACCCTGTGGATTTCCCTGGTTTGCAACTAATGTCAGTTGTCAATTCAACATGAGAAGAAATGAAACTGCAAATCATGAAGTGCTCATTTTATCTAGCAAAATGATAGGTTACAGGGGCAAAGGTTATGAATACAGTATGCAGCTCTCCAGGAAAACACGAACCTCATGGGAATAAGTCATTCTACAACAGGACTGAGCAGTTCAAGCAGAGCAATACAAGATGAATGACTTGATCCTATGGAGCTATTTCTGAAGATATTCGATGCTTTATCTATTCTGTCAGCATAAAGTCCACAGCTATTCCACCTTGACTGCTTTATATTCAGAAACAAGGCAAGCATGTAAGCTTAAAAATTCCATAGATGGAAAGAGCTGTGCGTCCTTTGTAAGGAAAAAAAGTGTAGGTACAACAACAGTATACAAAGCACAAAAGTAGAATTAGTTGTACAAAGAAAACCTACACTAAAATTTCAGGAAAAAAAATCTTTAAGTTAAATTTAAGCTTTCTAAAATTGAAATCTTCTCCAGCTAGTAACACTGTTGGGCAGAATGAAATGTCCTAATTTCCTGATATAAATCTGTAACGTTAATGTATACACTAATAACAATTATAATCTAAATACTGCTTTTAATTGGTAGGTTAAAAACTTGGACTTGATTATAAATGGCCATGTTCCAAATATAGTTTTGAAAAAATGAAGTGTGAAATATTGGATAATGGTTTTGTGTCAGATAGATTACAGATCAATGACAACTAATAAAAGTGACAGATGGAAAACTTAATAAAGCACAGAATGAGAGTCTACGCTACTTCAAACAAATGTTCCTAATGGAAAGACTGGATTTAAAGTTCTAAAATCTGGGCCTTGTCCTTGTTCAGCCACTTACTACTAGTATGATCATGGGTAAATTATTTTACCTCTTTAAGCCTCAGTTTTATCATCAACCAAATGGAAACATTAGGACCTCACAGCATGCTTGGAAGTCTTATATTTTGTTTTCACCAAAGTTGTACATTACCTGCCTGTCTGGGTAAACTCTATGCCCTGTTATTGAGCTATACATTCTATGACAGTAAGGACCTGATTGCTTTGTTTATGCTGAACCCCCCAGTGCTTGACAAGTTGTAAGTTCAAAAAAAGGACAATTAGTTAAATGTCATGAGGAAACACGACATGACAGAGTGCTTTGTCCGTGGTGCTTAGAGGACCCATGGAGTTTGCTGAAAAATGCATTAGCCCCTTGGAAGTTCTCCACTGGTCTGGGTTCCTCAAGGGCAGTGATGCCCTTCACTGTACCCTACCACCACCCAGCACAGTAGCCAGTTCAAGACAGGCATGCAAGGCCTTTTGGCTGACTGGATGCCTGAAGTACAGTTATGCTGGACTTGTGTTGAAGGCATTCCTGCAGGTATCTACAGTTTAAGATTGGTAAGTCAGGAACTACAAAGGCATGTCTCTGTTCCCCTCTTTTATAGTAAGTTTACTTTGTAGTTAAAGAAGTTTCAACCTTTGATTTTTACCTTCTTTGGGAGCTAAAATTTTGTTCTTTGGCCTGTTAACCAGAGTTCAAAATATCTAATGCTGAAATTAATAAAGTGCTCATCCAGATCTAAGTATGCAGGATGAGATCAGATATCAGAAGTGTACACTACTATGAAACAGCAAATAGTAACAAGAGGGGCTATGCATGGCAAGCAATTGAAATTCTATGTATCTAACCTTAAGAACAATAACATAATCCATAAAGATACAGGCTGCAAAGATGTGATGGAAACATGCTAACACTATAAAGTGTGGAATGGTTATTTTAATTTTGCAGTGAAATCTTGTTATTTTCATTAAAATAGTGATATTTAATCTGTTAACTATTTGAGCAGTTTTAAACTTTGCTTTTTAAAATGGTACTGGAAAACATACATCCTAGCACATATTAACTGTAGGTGGTGCTGCTGAGTAGCACTTTATTCCTTCATTAGGGATTTATATCTAATCATTTCTAATGTTTTAATGTCTCCTTTAAAGGGGATATGGAAACATAATGAATTAAAATAAAAGGAGGCATTTAGAGCTATTTCGTAAAACAGAAACAAAACTGTTTTAGCTCAGCCATCTATTGCAGAAACAGATGTCGTGTCATAAACTCCTTTTGTTTTGGATAGTTTTACACGGATGGCATCTGTTTGACAAGGAAATTTTGGTGCTACAGTGGTGTCAAAATCAGTTCTTTCAGAAACATTCTACAATCAGTTATGTTTTCTGGGGTATAATTTAATGGAACATTATGGTAAAACATTTTACTTTGCAGTCATTTCAAACTTTAATTCTTGAGAAATCTAGAAAGAAAAGTCACCCCAATATGTTTTATTTCCCCATAAACACTATGTACCATGCTTGAGAAGTTTAAAGTTTATCAATTTAAGTGAGCTGGTGCAAAGAAGTACGGTTTATTACACTTTATCCCTAATTCTCTGAATGTGGCATCCGCCTTTTCATGGAACTCTAATTAAATCTTTTGATTCTCTAATATTCCTATTACCAGAAACTCAACTGACTAGTACCTTACTAGTATATAAAAGGATCTGTGTGTTTTTTTCAAAGAATGCAGATAAAATCTGGCAGTTATACTTGAAGAGTAAGATCACAGCAGAGGGCCTTGATTAAAGTTTGAGGTAGGAGTTTGCCATCTGTAAAAGCTATGTTCTCTGCAGGCTGACAGGAAGAAAGAGAGAAGAGGCTTGCTTTCCATATTGTAACTTCTCTAGCTTGCTGGCATGTCGCCTACTAAGGGTATTTGGTATAGCCTGGCTCTTACAGGAGACAGTAATTTTTAACTGCAGTTTCTGTCTGTACAGTGGAAACTGACTCGTTATTACTCTAGTAAAGGACCTGGTAAAAATTTACTTCATTTAGTACTCAGAATTTCCTTAGGAACAAAGCTAAGATTCACTGACATCATGCTATAAAAGTAGATGACAATATATGCTTTAGTTCTGAAAATAATTCACATGATAACAAAAGGCATTTTCCACTGCATATATCAGTCACTGCAGCCTATATTTAAAAATGCAGATACCTTCCTGCACACATTTCCCGTCAGTTGTAGCACTGGGAATTCTTGGTTCATTGGAAGTTGCTATTGACAAGGTGTCTGGAAGGCTGTGCTGCTCCCTCTCATGATTTCTTAGATTACTCTAAAAAAAAATGAGAGAAATTATTAAGTGATTTTCGGTAAATACACATGTACAATTTACTAGGAGACTGTGGAAAAAAGGTTTAATTCTTAATGTCTATAACATATTACCAATATTTTAAAATCAAACCCTTTAAAACACTGACACATTTGACAATTTACAGAAAAAAAATACAAAGTAGTTCTTCCTTTTACATTCTCTGAAATGAAGTCATCTCTCTGTTAGGTGTTTATGAACATAATGTGTATGTTTATCAACCACTGGCCAGCTCAGAGATGGAAAGAGCAGTGTTCAGGGTGACACTTCTATAATAAGAAATTCAATCAGTAGCCACTGGATTCCTGCTTTTTGCTTCTCAGTATCAACTAAATATACGAACGACTGCTATCCCAAGAATAGAGACCCTTATCTATTTCTACTCCTCAAATCAGCAGCTATTTCTTATAGCAGGAACAAAAGAAACTTCTGGAACATGCCTCTGCAGCCTATTTGGATGTACTACTTAGAATTTCAGGAGGGTAAGCCAAGCGGCAGTGATTCTCAAACAGAAAATTTGATTTTCTGATTTGATTACCTTTTTCACTATTAACTAGGCTCCCAATTCTGGGTAAACTGACTGAAGCCTATATTCTAGTTGCACAATTAAGACACATTTTAATACAATTTTTCAGCTACCTGGCACACTGAAGAATTCTAAACCAATGATTCAATGAAGGTAAGCCTCCTTCACAAAATAAATCTCACTGATACTGGCTAATGGGTTTATAGTAAGTACAACAGAATCATTTTGAATAGTCCTTCAAAGTTTCTTAGACTGCTCACTAAACACAGAATATGTGGCTTTATTTCCTCCATACTGGCTTTCTAATATGACCTATTTTCCTTCCTAATGACAGAAATTGCTGCTGGCTATATAGCACCTTAGATGATTAACTTCAAGTGAAGGGGTATATGAGAAACATGTATGTTTTGTGTTGATATGCAGTTAAATCTGTGCAGGTCGAATGTGTGGTCAATCCACTATAAATTCCCTTGTGATTGAAAATCAATTTTTTTTTCTTCTTTGAAACAAGGTCTCATTATGTAGTTCAGGCTGGCCTTCAACTCACTATGCAGCCCAGGGTGGCTTCGAACTTGGGGCATTCCTCCTGCCTCAGCCTCTCAAGAGCTGGAATTACAGGAAATGTGCCTCTTATACCTGGTAATAATTTCAAAGTTATAGACATTAAAGCAGTAAATGCTGAAGCCAGTTAAGGAGGCACCAGTCATGGGAGAGATTCAAACTGGATGCCAGTCCCAACTTTTAATACTAACTGTCTGCAATTTCCCTAGACAAACTATCAGTTTTTCCAGAACTTATCCCCCTGACCTACAAAATAAGGTGGCTGCACTAAGTTCTCTCTTCAATCTAAAATTCTAAAGTCCCTGAAAGATTTTGTGAAGTATTATTTACCTTGTAAGGAAAAGATTCTTCACACTGCTTACACTGGTATAGTTTTGTTTTGCAATGGTTGATCATGTGGCTCTCCAAATCTTTGCTGTTGTCAGCTATGTGCTCACAGATAGGACATTGATATGGCTGTCTCTGCCGATGGACTCGCAAATGCTGCTTGATGTAGCCCTTGTTACCACTTGTGTAGTGACACAGGCGGCAACGGTAGGGCCGTTCAGCATTAGGGATGTATTCCACTACATTGGTCCCTAACAAACTTGTATCACTGTTGGGTTGGCACTGGGCATTGTCCTGCAACTCTTTCAGGATGTCATCATCTGAAGCATTTTGGTCAGTCCTTTCTCTCAATTTCTCAATTACAGTGAGCAGGGACATGCTGATACCTGTCTTAACTTGCCCATCTGACAATTCCTGTCTACTCTCTGGGAGAGCTACCAAGGTAGAGTTGCTTTGGTTAAAACCAGTTAGTCCATCTGAAGAGTTTTTAAGTGGTGACATAATTTTTGAATATGCTGTCAATGTACTCTCTACTTGCTTTTGTCCAGTATCTGGATCTAAAAGGTTTATATCTCCATAGTGCCCAAGATTAGCTCTTGTTAGTTCTGCAGCTCTTATAGGCATTGTGACAAGGGCTTCTGCAGCTAAGGAGTGTAGCCTAAGAGACTCAGAATTTGTCCTTCTTCGGCCTGGAGGGGCATTCTCATCAGTACCCAGGGTTTTACTTATTAACTCACTATCTTTCTTCTCTGGATTGCTCCAGCCTATAATTAATCCCTCAATATCAACAGTACATTTATCAGCATGATAAACATCCTCTACTCTTCCACATTCAGTCTGTGCTTCTATTGGGTTCTGGTTTTTTTCCTCTTCAATTTCAGCATTCATGAGGAAGTGTTTCTGTGAAAGAGTTTCTTCAGCACTTGGTAAACGCTCCACTATCACATTAACATGACCTTTTTTATTTGGGCTACTGCTGATGATTTTCTGTGCTGATGAAAGTAGGCTATCGGCAATCAGATTCTCCTCTGAATCAGACATCACTTCTAGTATTTCTTCCTCATTAGAGTCAAGGGTAACTGATTGACTTAGGGGTACACTATCCTCTACCGTTTGTTCTAAAGGAGAGGAAGATGATAATGGTTCTGAGTTGCAAATCTGTACTTGTACTGATGGCCCATTGTGGATACTCAGTTCACTGTCTCCGATAGCAATAACTACTGCATCGACTCCACCAGGTGCAGCAGACACTGAAGAATCCAGCAAGCCGAGAGGTTCATTTTCATTTTCAAAGATTGGATAGGTACAGTCAACTTGTCCTGCATGTTTCCAAGCATGTGTCTTTAACATTCTCTGCTGGCCACAAGTGTAACTGCAAAATAAGCACCGATACATGCCATACTGTTCATATGCATACCACTTTCGTCTACCCATTTCTGCCATGGACGTAGTTTGGACATTAAGGGTTTGTGGACTGCTCACATTTACTGAAGTATCGGGAACAGTTTCAACACTTTTTTCTGTGCTTCTATCACAGGAGTTAGAGGTGCTTACGTGCTGCTGGGCTTTGGACTGGGAGTGACTGTTGGCATCATTTTTGTGGTCATTCAGTACATGAGCTTCAAGTGCCTCTTGGTTTCTGGATGTAATATGGCACTCTGAGCATATGAATACCACTTCATTCTGCTGACCATGCTGCCTGATGTGATCTCTTAACACAGTAAAGGATGATGATAAAAACTTACAAAGGCCACATTCATAAGCCATAGCCTTCTCATCATTCTGGGCAAGAGAGTCAGGAATACTATTTGCTTGTGATGCCTCAGCTTTTCTAATACCAACAGCAGGTGACTGGGTTACTTTAGCTGGAATCTCACAGAGTTCTTGGCCTTCAAAACACTGTGCTGTAGCACTCGAACGCAAGCGTTTTTTCCCAATTAGAAGACATTTTTGTGACTTTTCATGCTCTACTATTTTGCTTAACTTCTGGATAACATGGATTAATGGGTCTGCTTTAAGCTTTCTTTGTTCCTCAACTTCCAACGAAGGACGGATGACACCTTCAGCTGTCAATACAGCTTCCTGTTCCCCAGTATCTGGCACCAACATGGCAAGAGAGCTGCTTTCTTCCATATCTAAAAAGGAACATATACGAGAAAGACACACCAGGTTACAGGATAATTACAGCTATACAATTCAGGAATACATTCTAATTTCAGTGTCTAAGCTCATCTAAGCATTTTCTAAGCTTAGGAAAATCAATGTACTTGGCTTTTCCCAAAATAGACTTAAATTTCTTAGAATTTCTCTCTGGATTACAATCTCTTGTCCAGTTTCATGATGGAGATCTTGCCATCCTTCACTAATTTCTTTAGAAATGACTTTAACAATGTTTATTTCCATTTTTCTTCACTGACTTTGCTCTTGACATCTAGCTGAACCCAATCATTACTTTCTCCTTTTTGCCAAAGACAAATAAGCAACAAAACTCCTATTCCTTCATTTAAACAAACACCACATTCTCTGGGCTCATGTTACTGTGCAACAGCATCATGTAAAGCCAGTATGATTTGACACAAGTCTTTTTGTTTATCCTGCAGTGTCAGGCATTCAGGGAGCGCTTTATGCATGCTAGATAAGCTGGTACCACTGTGTTACTTCTCCAGTCCCGTTTATTTATACATACACACACACTAGGATTTGAACTCAGAACTCTGCAGTGCTTGCCAGGCAGGTGCTGTACCACTGAGCTATATATGCACAGTCCTTTAATAATATTCTTGAGCAAGTACTTCTTAAGAAAAATGCAACTGCAGATTTATTACTAAAATCACAAATTTTTTTCCCACTCAAATCTCTGAAATTGTGAAAACACAGTTATGCAACCTATGATAAAGGACATAGTAAATTTGAGACATATATCCAGATGAAACTAAATAAAAGCAATGACCCACTTCCTTCTTTTACTTCCTTTGATTTAGCTTCCTGAAAATAAACCACAAAGTATGCTGTGGTTTTTTCCTAGAAGTCATATTAGCGGTCCACTATTACACATACCCACATACACGTATTTTTTTTCTGAAAGTATAAGGTGCATTGGAGAAGGAAAAGTTGACATTACCATTGTGTTTCAGGTCCTAAAATGAACAAAATCCTTAAAAGAGGCTATCTATAGGTACTAATACATGGCATTACTGCCATGAAAGTCACCCAACATAAAATACTCATAAAATCTTTCTTCTAAATGTTGAATATTCTTTATATTTCCTGGCATTACTGCAATTTCAAGCATTTCCTTTGGCATAAAGTAAAATTAATTTGTTGACTTGGATCACATTTTTAAGTTTAGGCTTTTTTCCAGCAACAAGTTTTTTTTTTTTTCTACATTTTAGGTGCATTCTGGAATCTTGCGCACAACTTTCAATAAAGCCAACAAAATTTTTAGTGGCATTAGCTATAGGCCAAAGACCATAGTACTCTTAAACTTCAGTAGAGGCTCTGAATTTTTGTTTTAGATGGTAAATCATGGCTCCTCTAACTCACATTGCTGAATGAACACATAAGAGCCCTCCCTTGCAGGACTGACTTAAAACTATCCTGCTGGACTCTACCAGCTTCAAATTTGCTTCAGTGCTAGTTTGCCTGTATCATCTCGTGGCAGCATTTTTCCCCCCTCTTTCTGGCATATCAGCTATCTATCTCTCAGTCCACATCAGGTAAAAATGCAAACATTTTACTACTGGCTTCTTTAGTATTATTTCTTCACTCTTTCCTTATACTCCGTCCTCTTAGACTAACTTTATTCTCTTTTCTGGGGCATATCTCTACTTGTCCTCACAATAGGGAATGCATTCCACAACTACTGTAACACTGCTGCTATCCTAGCCCTCAAAGGCTACAAGATCCTTCAGTCATTCTCTTCTGAAATCACTTTCTAAAAAATTCATTTTTTCCATCTTCCTCAGAAAGAACTTTCTTTCTAGATTTCCACACTCAACCTCAAGCAACTGAAGAGATTAAGGGTAAAGAATTTTTTTCTATGGAAAAACCCTTTCCTCACTTCCTAAATTACTTTACTGTAGAATTCTACACTTTTTGGTGAAGAGGAGCTGTGGCTCTTTTATATGAGCTCCCTTTAGGATCATTAACTTAAAATTTCATTTCTTTCATTTCAGTTGTTAAATGCAAGTTAGTTAAATAGTAAGTTTAGTAACAAGAATCCTCATTCAGTTTGTTGAATAAGCTATGGTTCTTCACTGTGGATCTAAGGTCTCTTCCCCCATGAAGTATAACATCCATGTATGGTGATTGATAACCTGGAAGTTAACAGTGAATGTTTTCTCAACAGACTTTGCATACCAAGTTACAAAGGTGATTCGTGTTATCTCTCTTCCATTTAACGATGTAACAGAAGGGAGATAGCACAGTGCAAATTATTCCCCATGGATATTTCAGTGTTCCTTAAAAAGAAAGAAAGAAAGAAAGAAAGAAAGAAAAGAAAGAGAAGAAAAGAAAGGTAAAAGAGAGGGCAGGGAGTTCATCCTATCTCAAGAAAGACTCATACAAAAGAATTTGACAAAATACACTTTTAAAGCTATGGCTGCTCAGGCATTAGGAACTAATGGAAATTTGCAGCAGATGCTCCAATTTTCCCTGAACATTTATGTAAGTATCTCATTTTAGAGGCTGCATACATTTGGGGATAAGTACAGTAATGGCAGCTATAAAACAGATATGATGGGCTGGGGTTTAGCTCAGCAGCACAAATGCCTGCCTGGTAAGCGCGAGGTCATGAGTTCGATCCACAATTCTCCCCCCCCTCCCCCCAAAAAAAGATACGACAACATAAAATATATCAGGAAACACCTGAAAAACCAGTTTGGGTCCACATGCAAAAATCAATGCATGAGTTAAAACTTATGAAAACAAAAGCCTCTGTTAAAAAAAGATTAGACAAATAGCTCATATGAAAGCATACGCAGTGGGAAAGTTATCTTAAAAGCCAACTTTTAGACTTTCACAAATATTTTACTTAGATCTTTTTATGGAATATCATGTATAAGATTTCATATACATATTTATAATTGTATATACACATATAACATGTCAAGAGAAGAAAAAACTTATTTGAGTAAGAGATGAAGTTGCATGAGTACCTAAGATTCATTATACTGTTTTACTTGTGTAAATGTTTAAGCTTTTCATAGTAAAATTCCAAAAGAAAAATTACATGCACGATACCAAGAAAGTAGTAGGAAGAATAAAAACATTTTAAATTCTTAGGACCGACAGCTGCAAATCAGGCAGAGTGGATTAGATAAACACTTAGAAGCTAAAAAGAATGAACAGTTTTCCAATAATGGGCTAACTACTACAGAGGTAAAATCACCAGAGGGCAACAATCAATGACTAGATCCCAACAGAAACTGAAGAGCTTCCTCGGGTTAGGGAAGTAAGCAAAAGACTTTCTGAAGAGGTAAGATGTACACCAGACCCCAAAGGATGTGCAACATGCCAGACATCAACCATTTGCCCTCTAGCCTCCCTGAATCTTTCTTTCTATTCTGCTCTCAGTCCCAGGAGGACATCATTAAGCTCCTCTACACCTTGGCTTCTGGTTAAGATCTGCCAATGGAGAGCCTTTACAGATCAGATGGAGATGGCAGACTGAGAACATGCTATTCACTGTCCGAGCACTTCACCTCTAGGTCACCTTGGACTAGCTGTGTTCCTCAAAAGAGAGCCACTTCTTTCCAGACAGGCTGTTCTACCTCTACAGGCTTCGCTTCTGGTCTGGCACCTCTCCTTTCTCCTAATACTACTAGATGGTAACTGCAGTTTTCCTGTGCTCTGCATAGAGAAACCCAAAACCTTTGTACAAGTAATTTTGTAAATATAGTCTCCTTGAATTATGCTAGTATGTGTGAGTCATTTGCTTCTTTGGAATACTACTGATACAAGTTCATATAAGGGCAAGATTGACAAGAAAGCCTGCCATAATAACATCATTTATTTGTATAACAGTGAGAATAAACACTATTTAGAGGTCAAGGTAAAAATCAAAGGGGATGAACAGGCAAGTTCAACAGAAAGACAGAAAACTAGAGATATGAGAGAAATCAGATTTTTTTGTTTAAAATCATTACCTATAACCTGAGATCAAATTATTACACAGAAATACTCAAAAATTGTTTTCCAAACCAGCAAAGTTCTATAATCTTTTCCCACTGAGTCTTTTAAATCTTTCCTTGACAATAGTAATATTCAGGCAGAAACTTATAATTAATGTCTTTCCCAAGAAAAGTTAAAAGCCAAATTATTTCAGTTGTCTTACTTCCTTATAATTTGCTATTTGGTTTACTTGTGTATCTAATTAGTCCTTTTTGTTACAGCAGTATGGTTATCCTAAGTTAAATCAAGCTGAACAAATTCATGTGGGCCTGAAGAAAAGCTGTAATTTTCTGTGTGTATACAAAGACAGCACAATTTGATATAAAGAACTGTCTCACGCAAAAGATTTGTTCAACATGAAAAAAATTGTTCAACAGAAGTAATACCAATTAATTCTCTATTTTCCCAGATTCTCATAATTCACAAGTACAAAACATTTATTTTGCTCAGGCCAAAAAAAGGTAAGAGACACAAGCTCACAGGTCTCTCCCCTAAAGTGCTCTCAGTTAGCTGTGTGACCTTAAGCAAGTCACTACTTCTGTAGATTTTAGGTCCTTCAGGTTAAAATTGAGAGGGTGGAGTGGGGTAAACTTTCAGGTGCCTAAATTACAAACTTTCTATATAAAGTTACTCAAAAGCTGCCTAACTTTGTAGGTTTACCTTACTAACCTCAGCTACAATTTATTTGATTTAAAATCTCCTTAGCTCAATGTAATTATTAGCTGCCACTAAAAATAAAAGCATCAATATCTCAAGGGTAAGAATTTTATAGTCTAGAACTTCTTAGCTGTCACCTAGTGTAAGATAATATTCTAATTTGGCAGTTACAGTTAAGACCTAAGGGCTAACTAACATTAACCAATATATGTATATATAGATATATGGTAATTCACTGAGCACCTGTAATGTGCCAAGCACAGTGTTAATAGACTACAAAAATGTGTAAGAGGAAAACCTTGTCCTTGAGATGCAAGCTCAGGGCATACTATCTGTGTAGACTCTGTATAATACTCATGTGACGCCTGGTAATACCAGCCTCTTTTCTGCAGGTGAGGAACCTCACAGATGTAAAGTAGTACATGAGGGTCAAAGACACAAGCCAGTTTAAGAAACGGAATCCAATCAATCTGATTCTAAAACTATGCTTTTTAATATACCAACTTTCCTGTCAATTCTTAATAAGAACAAGAACACACTGAAAAGATCATTACAGCTAAGTTGTATGAAGAATGTCAGTGTATTTGATCCTCATAACTCTTTGGAATCTGTTATGTGGTGTTACACAATCTTACAAATGAGGAAACTCACAGAGGTTTAGGTGACTTACCCAAAGTTACATGGTTGTTAAGTGGCAGAGCCAGTGTCTTTCAAACCATTTCCTGAAATTAATACAGTCCCTTGGATCAATCTTCAAAATCCAGCTGTGGCCAAGAACGAAAGTATACAGTATCAAACATTTCTCTTTCTTGGTGAAACAATAATGATTCATTTGGGCAGTGTAAAATTTTTCAGTACTTTGTATCAAAAAGAAATTCAAAGGGATATTCATACAATGTAATTATGTGATATAAATTCACATAATTTAACTAACAATTTAGACATAAGGGTTTTGAAGAATTCAGGAAAGAATAGCCCTGGAAACTTTAAAAACATTGTGAATCTTCTTTTACCTCAGAGTGTAACTAGTCCAATACATTATAGGTTTTACTGATATTTTCTAATGAGGAACGTTAAATTACATAGTACTATTTTAATCTTAATAAAAAATACAATGTAAAGAGCGATTATGCAAATTTTACAAACATAGTGGTGAGAATAGTAGCAGGAAAACATATGCCAGTGACTTGATCTACATCATCTCCTAATGCAGTTTCCTGCCCTGGTCCTACATATTTTTGCCACCGTTTCTTATACTATTCTCAAATGAGACTAGAAGATCAAAAAGAATGCTGGTTCTTTTCACCTAGAAAGCAAGTCACTGGGCCTCCTGTCAAGTTAATTTTCAACCAGTTACTGCAGTAAAGAAAGGAAGGGCCAGACTTTCTCTTTTAATCTATCGAAAGTGAAGTGCTGAAGAAAGTACAAACTCCAGGGGGTGATTAATCCAGCAACCGCCTGATGTCGGCGATGCAGACGGATAGCAAGTTACAGCCAGTGTAGACGGAGGAGGCCCGACCACCCCCGGGTTGGGAGGACTGCCTCGCCCAGCCAGTCGTCCAGGCCTCCGACACCAACCGTGCCCTCCAGAGTCCCTCAGGGTCCGACCTCTGGCAGATCAGCGCCCTGCAGAGGACGCTGAGGCGTGGGGAGGCCACGACTTTCTGGAGGCTTCCACACCAAGGAGTGACTGACGAAACGGCCGGGGCAGTGGGGGTCAGGAAAGTGACCAAGGGGCGGGCCACCAACACTTCGGTCTACGCTGACTTGCCAAACCGACTCTCACATGCTGAGAGGAAGCAACGCTCGGGACGGCCCGTCCCAACAGTGGACTGAGGACTGTGAGGCACTGGCCAGGGCCTCCGCCCCTTCCTGCCGGCAAACCCAGGGTCTCTGCAGCCTTGCCCAGAAAGGCACAGCGGGCAGAAATGGGGCACGGAACTTTGGGCGTTTGGCGAGCACCGGGCGGGTGACTGCCCTCCGAGGAGGAAGCGGACGCCGCTTGAGGCCTGAGGAAAGGATGCACATGGCCGGCGGCGGCGCTCACAGCGAAAGAAGGGGCGGCCCCGGGGCTTGGTACCTGCTGTCAGGCGGCGGCTGCTGCTTCCGCTAGCCTCTTTTGGCCGGCCAGGACCCTGCTGTGTACTCGCCCTCGTCCTCGCCCACCTCTCTCTCGGATCCTTCCCCTCTTCTCCCCCACTTTTCCCTTCCTCAACCGGAGCTCCAAGATGGCCGCGTGAGGAACAGATCACGTGAGCCATAGGCGGATCAGGTGACTCGAGTGGCGGGCGGCAGGGGCGGGGCAATTTCCCGGTCACGCCCACAGGCATCCCCGATGGCTCGGGCGGGGCGGGGCAGGGCAGCGCAGGGCGAGGGGCGGGGTGGGAGGGAAGTGCGTGGCCGAAGCGCTGCAGTTCGCCTCCCCGCCTACCTGGCAGGCGCCCGGGGGATTTGTCGAACTTGATTGTGCGTGGTCGTGTAAATCTGAAACACCTTGGAGTATCCCCATGTCGCTTAATCTGCTGTGTGCTAACTCCTTCATCCCGAAGTCTTCAAAATTGGCTCTCATTCGGAGTCATTGACGTGCTTTTCATTTTTATGTGAATTGGTATAATTTCTTCCTGTTGGGCTACACTTTTTGAGGGGTTCTTGGTTAAAATGGAGATAGCTATCCTAACTGGGTTCGCGGCTCTAATTCAGGGCGACTCTGGGAAAACTTTTTAACCAGAGAGACTGTTGAGGGGTTTAGGGCTGGTCTTGGTAGGCCTTGACCCTGTAACTCAAATGTCATCTGAGAACAGGTGGTGTTTGTCAGAGGGAGCTGTTTGATGAGCTACTCATGAACTGTAAGCAGTCCTGTTTGGACTTCCCAGATAACTTGGTGATATGCAAAGCCAACGAAGAATTCACCCAGCATCACAGAGTACAGGTATGTTGGGAACTACACCGCCTCGCACCTGAGTTAAACTCAGCAGATGAGCGGAAGACAGACAAGGACGTAAAACTGATAATTCTGGTCCTAGCAGTGGACTGACTTGTTTGGTCAGATTATCTTTTGTATACTTCAATATGGGTAGGGGCCTCTACAAGAGGGCTGGGCTGTCTGCTTTAAGTGGCAGACCCAAACTATACGAAATAGTAAAATTTATGTCACTGTTGAGATAGGGCTGTGGTTTTACTTAGGTATTTCAGGATTACAAATTCACATGAATTTGGGTGTTGCGAAACCAACGAATTTAGAATTCTGCTATTCCACAGAATGTTTCACCAGTTGGACCAAATAGCTAAGAAGAAGTAAAAACACGGCCCGTAATTGTTTTCAATAAAAGAGATGGAGCAGGAGATGAGCATGTTTGGGTGGAAGAAGTAAAACAAAAACAAAAAAATGAACAAGACACCCAGAAATACAGAAGGGTAAAAGTAAAAACAAGTAATAGGAACATTTCTTTTTTCCCTTTGGGCTAAACAAGTCTAGTTTGTAACTATGCGAAGAGAGGCTTTTCTTGGGCAATGTCTTAACTAATAGCCAATGATCTGAAAGTAGCACAACAGAAACCAGAAATTATTTGATCAGGGGAGAAGGGGGTGACACTCAAGGTAGAGTGCTTCCCTAGTATTTGAAAGGCACTGGGTTTGACCCCCAGCACCATTGTAATAATAATAATAATAATATATAAAACAAGAAAAAAGTAAATGTATCTTTGAATTTCCTTTGTTCATTCTTATATTTATCAGCTATTTTGTTTCTCTTTCCACATGGTGAGATGGAACTTCTTTGTCCTCTTTGTAGCTCATGAGTATGAACTACCTGTAGAAGAGCGGGTCATCACCCCAGTCCTGGAGCTTTTAATTCCCAGTACATTTCCCTCCAGAGTACTCTTCCCTTGGTTTGATAACTGCCAGTGTTGGAGGTAGTGGCCACCCTGTCTCTGACAAGTTACTGAACCCTTCGCTGACCCACAGTAGTTCTGTGTTGTGAACGAGTCAGTGAGGCTTTGGAGTTGTTTAGCAACATGGCATTGCTACTGTTGACACTCTTCTCTACCTCGGAGTGTAGTATAGTACCAAGAATAGACATTACAAGCAGAAAAAAAGGAGTGAATTAGGAAAGAAGGCATAAGGTGCACAATCGCAGAAAAAGAACTTCAAAATGCCTTTTACACAAATGTCTCAGTATTTTTCTTGTAAACAAACTTTCCAGAAAATGACAGAAAACAGTTAGTCAGAGGAATACAAAGTCATTCAGGTGGAATTCCATTGAACTTGTAGACATTTCATCTAAACTCTTCTCAGCACCTTCCACCTGCCACAGAATGTTATTTATCATGATTTAATTAACCAATCATAGTAAGATTTAATGTTACAGATAGGAAACTTGCTTACTCCATTATCTAGCACCTATTCAGTGGAATCTGATTCTGTTTCCAGATGAGAGATGACCTAGATAAGTGAACCCCTGTCTCTACACACCTCATTATTTTACTTTAGGGTCATTAATTAGTTGATAAAAGTTTCACTTCTACAAGTATCATGGGTCTGTGTCTCATAAAGTGGCCAGAGAGTCTGATGATACATAGTGCTTTACACTTTAAACCAGAGCGCTGTCTGTATTTTAGGAATTCTTAGGGACAGTACAGTAAGTTGTAAGGTGATAACTGGCTGGAAATGGATTGAGACACAGTTGAAACTTGAAAAAGACCTTTGTTTCCAGCCAAGTACCCGATACTTATAAAGGACACCTTGTCTTTGTTGTCATAAGATTAGATTAGATATTATTTGAAAGGATTAATCATGTCTTTGGCACAGCACACAAAACTGGAAAATACATGTGACCCATTTTTCTTTTAGCTATAATTTTTACCTTTAAAAAGTATTCTGCTTCAAAAAAGGAAAGGTCAGGAAAGAGTCAGAGGAGGCAGGAGGAGCAAAAGGGAAAATGACATGGTAGTGTGAGCTGAGAAGATAAACTGAAAAATTATTCCATACTTGGCAATTTAGCTCCCATGGGACTCTGAGCAGGTGCCTCCCATCTCTCTGATGTTTTCACCTTGCTTATAAAACAAGAAATTCAGTTTATCTTTTTTTTTTTTTTTGAGATTCAGGTGTCTGGTGTGTAGAAATATGGAGTTTAATTATAGGATCCCTCCAGGCTCAAAATGGAATTTCATCATTAAGAATAATGGCAAAACTTGATTTTATTAATAAATGAAAAGATTGCTTGATGTAAGTCAGAAGGAATGTAAGATTAAAAGACTTGACATTATTATATATACAGCTGTCAGTAATACATTAACTTTGGCTCTGGATTCTGTACACTTTGCATCTTGAATATACACCTAGAAATACTTCACAATTATAGTTCAGGTCTCAAGAATCATCATAAATTATCCATCTGCCGTTCATTTTCTGCTAAAAGCCACAGACCTATGTTATCTCAGATGCACATAGACATTTAAAATCTCTGGTGCTACAGTGTGCACATATTAATTTATTTCTTGTTGAGGACCCAACTAAACCAGAATATATGACAACTGTCTTTGACAAAGAGTAAGAGGACAAAGAGTAAGAGGACAAAGAGTAGGGAGCCTGATTGTGAGGACTGAGATTTGCTCTAGCCCATCTATGCTTTTCCTATAAGCTGTTTTGGTCTGACATGCTACCTGATTTTTAAAGGCCCCCACGGAGCTCAGGCAGTTACAGCACACATGGCAGCCCTGCCCTCAAGGCTGTGATGGAATCCAGTCTAAAGTCCTCTGCTGCAAGTGTCATGACCTCTGCACAAGGGGAAGAATTGATGATGGTGACATCTAGTGGTCTGTCTGGAATGTGCAGTCAAGCTGCAGAACGTTCCAGTGGCATGTGGGTCCTGACCCGGGTCCCTGAATCAACCTAAGAGTTTGGCTCAGATTCTCTGAACGTATCCTGATTGATGGTTGGGATTCAGAACCTCACCAGCAGGCTGGGACTGAAGGTGGAGAGGGGCTGCTTTAGAGGATGACGGGAGGCTCCTTTCAGTCTGGTCTGCATATGCCTTGGGCTTGTGTTGCAACAAAACGTGGCTCAGTGGGGGTGGTAGAGCAGGGAGCTCGCCTCCGCTGGAGTGTCTCTCTGCATCAGTGTAGACTAGTTATTGGGACGCTCAAGCAATTTTCCGTCGTCTTAGTCAATAAAGCCAGTCTCTTCTCGGCAAGAGGAATGAAAATGAGATTTTGAGGCCTCCCAAAAGCTCTCTCCTTTTGTCACTTTATCTGCCCAGGAGCCAGGAAGTAGCTTGGCTTACTTGGTGGTGGCTATTTACTATTCTCCAAGCCCCGTTGACAGGTAATACCACCTGCTTCTGAGGAAGACAATCTGGTTGTAATAGGACACTGGTAAGTTCTTCCCAGAGAAGTATTTTCCTTAAAGTCATGATCTTTATTGATGAAAAGCACAGTGGAAGAAAACGAAAAGAAGATGATGATGAAGGAAAACGCCCAGAAGAGAAGTAGCTGCTAATCAAACCACGAATGCCTAGCTAAGGGGTTATCGTGGCTTAAAAATATGTCATTTGTTATTTTGACAGTGCCTCTTGAGGTGATAGAACAGGAGGAGCAGCCGGCATCATCATCAGGTGGCCTGGAGTTCTACTTCTTGCTTCTTGAGGAAATCAGTGAACAGGTAACAAGAAATAGCAAATATTCTGCCTTCTAAGGTCCTCCAGCTCTGAGTTCTTTATATACTATGGAAAACCAAGCATGGAAACCTTGACATTTCACTGAAAAGAGGACATGAATGAGAAAGGGAAGGGGAAGTGCATGCAATACCTAAAAAGTCCATGCCACAATTTTCGTGCCCTTTCTGGCCTCATCATAAGCTCCACTGAGCCATAAAGTAGGAGATTCCCACTGAAATCTGTCGCAGGCTGGAAGTGGCATACTCAGTATTGGGTCTGAGTAAGGCAGAGTGCTGCTTTGCTCCTGTGTCTTGTCCCCTGCCTGACTACCTTCGCCTTAAGGTCATATCTCTGAGCCATGTGCAGGAGACGTCTCTGATGAGCTAACGGTAGGCAGAAGCATGAACTAAGCTTTAAAAACAAGTGAACTTCATGTGTGGAAGAAAATTGTCTCAGGCATTTTTCTCATTACTGAAACAAAACATCCAACACCCAAAGTTGGCACAAGTTTATTTTGCTCACAGTTTTTAGAGATTTCAATCCACAATCAGCTGGCTCCAGGGCAGAGTGGCACAGCAGAGGGCGTCGCGGAGGAGAAACAGTTTATGGCA